CTTTTTATCTCGATGTTGAACCTAAATCAATATTATAAGTCACTTGAGTATGGACTCGACTTTGACGTGTGATATGTGTGCACGATTGTGATCGTTTGGATTGGTGTTGGTGCCCGCATTGGTTTGGGGGAGATTCATCATCCATCCCGAAGAATATAAATAAGTTGAAATGAAGTTCAAACTGCACTTTCAATTTTCATTTGCCGTGATCGTCTTCGCCGTCGGAGAGAAGTGAGAAGTCGATTTCTCAATTGTTGTCGCCGTCGCGCTGGGTGGAATGATTTGAGTACAGTCGCTGGGTACATTTGGCCCTAAATTGATTTGAGATTTTTATCTAAGGTATTTAATATAAATACATAAATAAGATATAAAAATGATATAAAAGTAATTTTACAAATTAAAATTATAAATAGGGGTAATCAACGATATGTAATGAGTTGTATGGAACAAAATTAGGATTGGAGACTAGCGATTTTAAGAGAATTAACCATATTAAACTGTATTATTTGAAAATTTTGAAAATTGAGCAACTCCTTTGATAATATTTCGATTCGCTGTTGATTGTAACTGCATTCAAACCCTTTTTATAAATCCTTCTTACTTTAACTCTATAAAAAATAAAAATATATAAAAAAAAAAAAAAAAAAAAAAAAAAAAAAAAAACTCTATAGAAAATCTTACTTCTTCTTTTGACTAACTGCTTATTGATAGTCATATTTCAATTACCACCTTAATTACGTTAAAAATATTTCTTTTGAATTCTGTTGGGAGCAATGTCCCAATTATGACTTAGCAGATGATATTGATTAAATTAATTTCAATGTCTTTTGATAAGATCAAGCTAATTTGATATTATTTTTTAAGTTTGAGATGAATATTAAAATATATATATATGTTTAAAAATATTATAATTATGATATTTATCTTATTTATTTAAATGATTTGTATGCTATATAAATACATATACATATGTTAATCTTTACCATTGTAAAAGAAAATATTTCTTCTATTATCTAAAATATATATATATATATATAATATATTGAAAAAAACTAATTTTCTATTATTTTATTATAAAAAAAATATATTTTTATTATTCTCCTTAAAACTCATACCCTATCAAATGAGTATGACTTCCGATGTGAAAAGTTGTATACAATTTCAGCTTAATGTTTCAACTATTATTATTTTCAAGTCAATAGTTTCGCGGTGTGTGACCTTGGAAAAAAAATATATTATATTTATTTATTATTATATTTATTTCGGTGCGTATTTTCGGGTAGCGACTGCGGATTCTCCGATCATAAAAAAAAAAAAAAATTAAATAAAATTATTAATTGAAAATTACGAAATAAGAATAAAAAGTCAACTAAATGTGGATATACTATTTGGCATCTACGAACTACCAACTATGAACAGCTGTATTCATTGATTAAATTTCTTGATTTAAAAAGAAAAGAAGGCATTGTTTAGATAAGAGAATTTTAAAAGTGTTGATTTTGTGATAAAAAAAAAAAAAAAAAAAAATACTATATATGATGTTATACTTTTAAAAAGGAAAAATAATCCCAAAATTTTTTAAATTTATTGGATAAATAAAGCTGAAAACTTTCGAAATTATTTGTCACTCCCAACCAAACAAATAATTATTGTCAGATTTTGGTACTATTTACATGTTCTCTAAGCGTGACCCAGTCAACATTGCTCGAACAAATAATCAAACCATGAAAAAATAATAATAAAAAAAATAATAATAATAATCAAACCATGAGTTATCCAATAAATATCTCAACTACCAATGTATACATACACTTTAATAATACTCTTCTATATTCACATTTAAATTTACATGTTTTTAAATGTGTAGCAAAAATAAATATCCACCTTAGAAATGGATCGAATATTACATATTTACAAAAAAGTAATAATTTAATTATAAAATATTATTTTTATATTATTAAAGTATTTATTTTCTATTAATGGGCTTGTTTTCTTTCTGAAAAAATTGCAAGATACTCCCTTTCATTCCATAACTTTGTATTCATTTGTTTTTTAAACGAAGTCTTAGAAATATTAATATTATATTTGAATGTAGTATGAATAAAGTAGAAATGACTAAAATAACCTTATTAGTATTGTGTGATATAAATGTAATGATACTTGTGTAATATATTGTAAATTGTAAGGGTATTTGTAATGTTAGGTAGATAATACAGTTACTAACAAAAATTGATATTTTGTCATGAGACAGACTAAAATGGGAATATGGATACTTTGTTATAAAACGGAGAGAGTATTTCTCTAAAAAAAAAATTAATATACTATGTACGTTTTTATATTATCTATATCATTTCTATACTTTACATTAAAAAAAAAAAAAAAAAATCAAACAAAACATAAAACAAACACACCCAAATATTTCAAACAAATGTAAATATACTTTATACATTTGTATAATTGATGAATTTTTATTTAAACAATAAGAGAAAGAAATGCATATGGTTGGAAGTTGTAGTTCTTGATGAAAGTTGAGTTTTACTAATGCAATTTTGTTCAATTATAAATTAGATTATGATCTAATATATATTCAATCAAAAATAGATTTTGAACTTTTAAAAATTATATTTAATATAAATGTCAATTTATCAAAAAAAATAAAATTTTATATAATATAAATAAATAATATATTTATACATAATTAAATATGCTAGTCCTGGACTAATCCGATCCGTTTACGATTTCTCGCAAGATAGGCCAGCCCGGTTTTAGATCGAGTCTGACCACCTGAGCTCGGACACAACTTGGTTTCAAATTTTGTCGAGCTGCTTAGTCTAGTACTCCCTTCGTCCCAAACACCCTGCAATATTTCCTTTTTTATATGTCCCAAACACCCGGCAACATTTCCAAAATAAGAAGTAATTAATTATATTTAATCTCTACCTCACACTTTATCCCCTCACATCGTCCAAATAAAAAAATAAAATATATATTTTTCTCTCTATCACATCACCTAATTTCTAAATTATCCTACTTAATACTATACACCTAAAAATCCGTGCCAAAAACAAATGTTGCACCTTGTTTGGAATAGAGGGATTATTTTTTAAAAATAAATTTTAATTATATTTTGCATAATTTTTTATTAATAATAAATTATACTAATATAAGTAAATATAATTATGAATAATTATTATTGATATTTAAAATTGGAATATTAAATTTATTATTAACTTCTATTTTATTATATATGATTAATATATTTATAACATATATAATCTTAAAATTATTTTGATGAATCAAGTCGGGTTAGACATAGCCCGGTTTTTCAACCGGGCCTGGCCCAATTTCAAAATCTTTCAGCATAGTTTTTAGGTAAATTTTTGGTAAAATTGTTTATAATTTTACTGTGGTTTCGAAATTCAGCGTAAAATCGTTCTGTACTTTAAAAATTGCATGATATCCCCTTATATTTAAAAAAACGTTGCATGAAACTCCACCACCATAAAACTTTCCTCGTGTGATAAGAAGATGATTTTCTATCTGTATGTTTTACATAGCATGGGGTTTTATACAATATTTTTGAAAGTATAAGTGAGCATCATGCAAGTTTTTAAAGTAAAATGGAGATTTATGCTGAGTTTCGAAACCACAAAGTGGTTTCATGCAACATTTTTTAAAGTATAAGGGGACGTCATGCAATTTTAAAAATAGATGAGGAATTTAGGCTGAGTTTCGAAACCACAAGGGAGTTATGAACAATTTTACCTAAATTTTTTATTAACAAGTACAATATTAAATAAATTTATATAGCATTGTAATGAGTGTGCTTTAAAAAAATGACAAATAAATGAGATGAAAAAATAAATTGAAATTATCGTTTCAACTAACATTTTATCCGCTACAATCCTGCACGCATTTTTTAAGGTTGACTTGGTTTTAATAAAATATTTGATTTGCTAAGGATATTCAAATCGTAAATAGATTATCATAAATTCATAACAAAGTCTTCAGTATGTCGACATTTTTTCACCATCCATTTTAAATTTTCAACGATGTGTTATCTAAAATAATAACAATGTTATTAAAAATATTTTTGGTTTGATTTGAAAAAAAATAAGTATATCAAAATTATTTTTATATTTATTTAAATTGTACTCCATTCTTATTTTATTTTTAGCATTAAAATGTGTCACACCATTTCGATCGATAGCCTATAGTTCAGGGTTCCCATTTATTTTCAATTTGATTGAATAGTAGAAATTATGATTTGTTACTGTTATTTATTTTTTAATATGCAAATACAACACTCACTCTTAATTAATATAAAAAAGAAAATCATAAATAAAAATATGTTGGTTGCTTATATATGTGTGTATATATATAAATACATTGCAAAATTTATCTACAGCCATAAGATATGTTATATGATGACTCATTCATATATTATCTATTTGTGTTTTTGTGTTTTCAAATAATAGTTTGTTATAAGTTGTTTACAGCATTAAATAATAATTAATAATATTATTCGGTTAAATTGCACTAAATTTATTTGTGGTTTCACGAAATTGCGTCTAATCCTTCATATATTTAAAATTGTGTCAAACTCCCTCGTAGTTTTATAAACTCTGTGTCTAACCCCCTCGACGGTCCTTATTTAAGGCTATTTGACCTAAATGTACCCAAACTGCGAATAAATTTTAGAATCTCAATCTCTAAACGCCGCGTTTAGAAATTGAGATTCTAAAGTTTATTCGCAGTTTGGACGCATTTAGATCGAATACCAAGTACGACTGTAGACGTAGAGTTTATGAAATTATGTCCATAATTTTATGAAATCAAAGATAGATTTTGTGCAATTTAATCATATTATTTTTATACTAAGATTGTTTTTTGGGTTTAGAATTTTAAAACAATTTTTGGTTATTAATTATTATTATGAATTGAGAAATGTAAATATAAAAAGAAGTAGAACGAGTATGAAGTGATAAAACTTAAGTTAATTAGGAGAGTGTTGTCATTCTGTCTTCATTCACTTAATAACTTCCCTCATTAAATACTCTCTCTCGCTTCTCAACCCCCAAAATTGATCTCCACGCCGATGACGATTCTCAACCGCGCCTCCGCCTCCGCCGCCGCCGCCGCCGCAGTCCTCCTCTTCCTACCCGCCGTCGCTTCGGGGGAATGCACCTGCGACGCTGATGACGACGGCGTAGTGAACAAATCCCTGGCGCTCAGATACAAGCTCGCCGCCATCGCCGCGATCCTCGCGGCGAGCGCCGTCGGAGTTCTTCTTCCGGTGGCGTCGAAGGTGGTGCCGGCGCTCAGCCCCGAGCGGAGCTTCTTCTTCGTGGTGAAGGCGTTCGCCGCCGGCGTGATCCTGTCGACGGGGTTCATCCACGTCCTCCCCGACGCCTTCGACAGTCTGACGTCGCCGTGCATCGCCGGCAGCCCGTGGGGCGATTTTCCGTTCGCCGGATTCGTCGCGATGCTGGCGGCGATCGGGACGCTGATGGTCGACACCTATGCGACGTCGTATTACCGGCGGAGGTCCCGCGTTAAGGCGACTTCCGGGGATGTGGAAGTCCCGGGAGTTCAAGTCCATACGCACGCCACACACGCGCACTCCCATGGGCCGTTGGATTTGGATGTTGAGGGATCTGAACTGCTTCGCCACCGTGTGATCTCTCAGGTACGGCATACAAACAGTCTCCACTCATTTTAATTAAATTTTATAATTAATCATAATCGTGTTATTATTATTATTTTTATTATCTTATTTTTAATTATGATATGGAAACCTGCAGCCGATACCCGAAAATGAAAATGCCTATATATTTTCGTTTTAGGGGTAGCAATAATTGATATTTTTTTCTTCTATTTAAAATATTGTTTGTGTGTGGTTTTTAATTCAAAATAAAAAATAAAAAATAAAAAAAAAATAAAAAGAAAAAATCACTTTCGCATTTAATCCATTAAATGCATGTCTCTTTTACATTAAATATTACTTATAAATTGTTATATTATGTTTATTTTTTAAACAATTTTTCCATTAAAGTATTTTTATTCAAGTAAAAATATAATATTTTTGCATAATATTAAAGATTTTAAACACTTTTTATTTTTACTTATTAAAAATTGTGAAATTAAGAAATAATTTATTACTAGTCTCTATTTTTTATTTTCTTTCATATAAGTAGAAATGAAGATAATTGAATTTTTGAGAGAATGAAATAATAGAAAAAAATTTATAATTTATCTCAAATTATTTTCATTTTTCATAAAAAAAAAAAAAAAAACAATCATTTTTATTATTTTTTACCCTAAAATTTTCTCTTCCGTCTCCGTCGGCGTTGTCATTATCCTCTGTGGATAAGAGGGTTCAACCCATAAATAATAGAGTTTTATGATAGACTTCCTCTTATTATTATTATTATTGATTACCATATATTTTTAAATTATTAATTTTTTAATATTTTATGTATATATATATACATATATGCATAAATAAATGATAATTAATTTTTTGTTTATCCTTTTTAAAATCGAGTTCTCTAGTTTAATAAATAAAACAATTAATTTATTTCTTCAATTTTATTTTCTATTATTCTATTATCATTTATCTGCAAATGGAAGTGTTTCTGAAAATTAGAATATTATTTGCTTGAAATAGATTTTATTATTTTTATATATTTTATTAGATAAAATAAGCAGCAGTATAATCCTTATACTAACTTTAGCAGAGAAATTTTCTTAATATACACAAATAACACATGTTATTAAATAAAACACTGTGTTGGTTGTTTATAATTAAAATATACTGTATAAAAGTATATCACGATGTCGGTCTTGATACTGTCACCGATAGCATACTATGTGTTGTTCAACACATTACTTAATTTTATATATTTATTTGTTTAGTACTTAAGGTATATTTTATATAAGTGATAAAATTTCGTTGATAATATAAAAAATAATATTTTTTTATTAAATGTTGACTTATCGTAAAAGAATAAAAATACCACTCATCATATATATGTATATACTAATCGTGTCGAAAGGAAGAAATTGATTGGGCAAACAAATACTTATGACGACAGGTACTGGAACTGGGAATCATCGTGCATTCGGTGATAATCGGGATAGCATTGGGAGCTTCGGAGAGCCCTAAGACGATCCGGCCACTGATCGCGGCGCTAACATTCCACCAATTCTTCGAGGGTATCGGCCTCGGGGGATGCATCACTCAAGCGAAGTTCAACGCCCGCACCGTGGCCATCATGGCCCTATTCTTCGCGGGCACAACACCAACGGGGATCGCCATCGGGATCGGGATAACCAACAGCTACAGCGAGACGAGCCCGACGGCGTTGATAGTGCAAGGGCTGTTCAACTCGGCGTCGGCGGGGATACTAATATACATGGCGTTGGTGGATCTTCTATCGGCCGATTTCATGAGCCTCAAAATGCAGGCCAACGGGAAGCTGCAGTTCTGTTCGAATGTATCCCTTTTGATCGGCGCCGGCTGCATGTCTTTGTTAGCCAAGTGGGCGTGATGTCGTTGTCATGTATGTGTGATCAATGATGCCCATGGAATTCCAGAATTTTTTTTTTTTTTTTTCTTTTTGGATTATTTTTTTTAGAAGCTTGCATTGTATTTATTTTTGGTGCAAATGCTTATTATTATTTGTTTTAAAAGATACACTCCTTCCGTCCTAAAAAATAGTCTTATAAATAGGAAGAAAATGATGAATCATCATGACATATAATACTAAGAAAAATATATATGGCACACATTACATGTCAATTTGCATGAATATAATTTATATGGTTATGACACCTATAATGTATGACTCATAATATTAAGATGACTCATTCATAATACTCGTCATTAGGTCTCTTGTCAATATATCCTGATGTTCTTCACCAATTTTTTGAATATATTCTGATCCGATTGAATTTGCTGCACATCTATTTCACCATTTTTCTAAAAATCATGTGTAAAGAAAAATTTTAGTAAAATATGTTTAGTTCTATTTCCCTTGATATATCTTCACTTTAGTTGAGCATACAAACTGCATTATCTTCATATAAAATAGTAGAATGATTATTATGTTCATATATCAAACCACAATTCTGTAAAATGGGGGTGAAACATTTATCTCAGCTTAACATACTCTCAACTAGGCTCATGAATTGCTATTATTTTTGCATGATTTGAAGATGTGACAATTAATTTTTGTTTAGTGGATCTTCAGGATACCATTGTACCTCCATAAGTAAATATATAGTCAGTTTGAGACTTGGTTTATGCTGGTCAGAAAAATACCCAATATCTGCATATCCGATCAATTTATGTCGAGATCCCTTTGGATATAATAGGCCAAGATCGATAGTTCATTTGAGACAACGAAAAATATGTTTGATTCCTTTCTAATGTCGTTGTGTTGGCATTGGACTAAATTTGGCCAATAAATTTACAACAAATGCTATGTCTGGTCTTGTACTGTTGGCCAGATACATTAGTGCACCAATAGCATTTAACTATAGTATTTCAGGACCAAGTGTTTCATCGCTCTCTTATTTCGGTTTAACGGATCCTTAATAGGTCGAGAGTTCTAACGATTATTGAAATACTTAATGAATGTGTTTTATCCATTATAAACCATTTCAATATCTTTTAAGTATATGCAAATTGATGGATCAAAATTCTATTTTATAAATGTTCAATTTGTAGACCAAGACAGAATTTCATTTTTCCGAAATCCTTGATTTCAAATTCCTGCTTTAAGTATTCAATGGATTCTTGGAGCTCTTCAGCCTATTATATCCAAAGGGTATCCCTTTTGCATATACAAAATTTGTAATCATAGATGTTTATGTGGACATAACAACTATGATTACAAATCCGTACCATTTTTATAAAAACACAAGGGTAAACAGAATCATTAGTATATCTTTATTTCATCAATGATTCACTGAGATGATTGTATCACATACGATCAAATTACTTGAGCCCATACAAAGACTTTTGTAATTTAATAGAATAATATTCTTTTGGCTATGATTTGTATGCATCAGACATACTAAATCTTTCAGGAATTTTCATGTAGATATTACTATCCAATGAGCCATATAAATAGACAATTAATACGTCCATCAAACGCATATCCAAATTTTCATGAAATGCCAAACTGACAAGATATCGAAATGTTATTCCATCTATTATCGGAGAATATGTTTCACTAAAATCAATTTAAGGTCTTTGTGAAAAATTCTGGGCTACAAGTCTTGCTTTATATTTGACAATTTCATTGTTCTCATTCTGTTTTTGAACAAATACCTATTTATAATCAACAGACATAACACCTTCAGGTGTTTGAATAATGAGTTCAATTTTTTTTTTTTGTTTTGCTAGTGAATTAAATTCAGACCGGATCAAATTTTTCCATTTTGGCCAATGTATTCTTTTCTGAAATTCATCAACTGATCTAGGTTCTAGATTCTTATCATTTTTCATTAGATCAAGTGCTATATTATATGCAAAAGCGTTATCCATAATTGTATCATTTCAGTTCCAATACTTTCCGGTAGTAACATAATTTATTGAGTTTTCAATAATTTTATTCTCTTCAGGAGAAATTCTATCAGGATTAACTTCCTCATGAAGTCTATCAGGATCAATTTCTTCAAAAATTTGATCTATATTACTACTTGTTTCTTGAGAATTTTGATTAACATTCATATCCTCATTCCTCTCATTTATTCCTCTTTTCTTTCGAGAATTTTCCTAAAGGTCTGTCATGCTTCAGGTGTGCATTTGATTCATTAACACTTTGTATTTTTCCTTCAGGGACAAAAAATTTAGCAGGTGTATTTTCTGCAGCTATATATGATCTAGTTACTCTGATGGCATTATAAAAAGTATCAGGTAGTTGGTTAGCAATTGCTACAAATGCACAATTCTTTGTACTTCTAATTCACTTTGACTTGTATGAGGATCAAGAAAACTGAAAGGTATTTTCCAAGTAATTTACCTTTTAAGTTGATCAGCTTCTCTCTTTCATATCAAGAAATACGACTCGTCAAAATGACAATAAAAAATCTAGCAGCAAATAAATCACCACTTAATGGTTTAAAATATTTAACAATAAATAGTGATTCATACCTGATATATATCTCCAATCTCTGTTGGAGGCCCATATTTGTGCGTTGGGGAGGTGCTTCTGCACATAAACTGCACACCCCAAATGTCTACAAATGTGATATATTGAGCTTTTTATTGTACATCAATCATACTGTGAAGTAGTTATGATAGTTTGTCATCCTTAATTTTTATGAGTGTTGTTGCATGCATAACAACATGTCTACAAGCAGATACAAAAAGTTTAGATTTTATTAACATAGTTCTTACAATTAATTGCAGCATTTTATAAGTGATTCAGCTAGACCATTTTTAGTGTGTACATGAGGTATAGGATGTTCAATGTAAATTCTAATAGACTGCAATAATCTTCAAATGTCTTGGATGAAAATTCACCAACATTATCAAAATGAATTTTATTTATTGGGTGATTGAGAAATTGTGTTCGTAATTTAATTATTTGAGTAAGTAACCTCGCAAATGCCAAATTGCGGGTGAATAATAAGCATGCATGCGACCATCGAGTAAATGTATTAATAAGTACCATAAAATATCTAAGTGGTTCGCATAGTGGATCTGCAGGTCCACATATATAACCTTGAATTCGTTCTAAAAATACAGGGGTTTAATCCCTACTTTTGCAGGTGATGGTCTAAATATCAATTTTCCTTATGAACAAGCAACACATTTTAACTCATTTGTATTTAATACCATTTGATTTTTCAAATAATGGTCATAAATATTTTCAATAATTCGTCTCATCATAGTACTACCGGGATTCCGAAACTGGTCATGCCAAATTATAAAATTTGTGGACTTCTGGTCTGCCAAATATGTTTCAACTGCATTAATCTTTGTGTAATATAATCTGAAAGACAATAAAAGTAATTTTTCTAATATACATTTGTGTCCATCAATGAATTTTTTAATCAACAAAAATTCATTATTTGTCTCACTTGATGTCTCAATATAATATTCATGTAATGCCCTGATTTTGAAGTGTATAAGATAATACTATTATATCAAATAAATATTTTTATAATATTTTGGGATCAAAAAATTAATATTCTGAAAATAAATTACATTCCTATTTTATATGCTAGTTATGATTGAAAAGACATTTAAAATAATAAATATTGATAAAAATAAAATATAATATATATAATATTATAATATAATAATAACAATAACAACGTTAATAATAATAATAATAATATAATCATATATACAATAAATGTAATAAAATAAACAAATTAGACATTACATTCGATCAAAGGAAAGTAACACAGTAGAAAGAAGAAAAATGAAAGGAGGAAGAAAAAGAAAAAGGAAAAAGATTTAATTTCAATTCTGATTTTGTTATTGTAATCCTTGCTATGTGTAAGTTTAATTATAAATTTTAATATAAATTTGGATATTGGGATATTAAATTAGAAATTCTTAATTCATAATTAGTTATTTGACTATTTCTGAGAATTTCGTATCGATCCAAGTTGAATTGAAAATGATAGTGTATTGCACCTGTCTGTTTGTTCATATATTTAAGAATTTTTATTTAATAATCGAACGATATAAATATTGTGAGGTATGAGGATTTTATAACTAGAATATTGTATTATACTATATATAAAAAATTTTGAATTTAGACGAGCTAATTATAGAAATTAATTTTTGAATAAACAGGTAGCTTATATAAATAAGCATATAACACATCTGATTTAAGTAAATAATGGGGCATGTGTACGTTGGAGAAGATTTGTATGAGATTGCAAAAGTCAGGGGGTGTCGATAAGACGTAAGCATTAGGGAATTAAATATAATTTTAAGAAACTAGGTATGCATATTGCATATTGATTCTGGTTAATATGTTAATGTGTTATTATGTGGATCATTTTGTCAGCGCATGTATATATCTATAAATGTGTGTGTACGTATGCATGTGTGAGACTTCAGATTTTATGATATTAGATATACGTATTTGATTGTGTTTATGAATTTCTGAAAAGGAGAATAGGTGAGCTGTCTCACCGGCTTTTTTCGGTATATTCACTTATTTGACATGCTGCACACATATTGCATGATTTATCAGATATGTTTTATGGATCTATCGTCTAGCCGCCGTGTGGGGTAGTGCTAGGCAAGAGCTTCATCTGAGGTTAGGGTATTCGACCTTGATGTACCATAACACTTTGGCGATAGTGGGCGATAGTAGTCAGACAACATGATGACTTAATCGCACGGTCATTCAAGGATTAGAGTCATTATAGTTGAGACGTATTTGGTCTAATCATTCTTGTTAGGTGTTGTTCCACTCATTTGACTGATCACTAGTGAGGTCTACCGGTAGTTTAGGATCGTATGCCAAACTCCAAACGTGATCCCGTTAGGCTGCGCAAGGAAGAGTAGACTTTCTAGGTTTTCCTCGGGTGATTTCAGGTTGCACGAATTCTACTATATTACACGGAGTAAGGCTAGTCAAGAGGGTCCTATATTCGCTATCACATACAATGGGGTGTCTTGTGGTTAATGGCGACAACGTTCGTCTATCCATGTA